CTCCTCTCTCAGGAGCTCTGCTGAGAACAGGTCGATTTTGGCCTGTCTAATTAATATTCATGAGTCTCTCTTCTGAATTGGCCTGCCAACCACAGGTAACCAGGGTCAGCCGACGTCACGGCGCTAGCTGGAGGCAGCAAAACAAAGGAGAAACTGGAGGCGGCCCATTCAAACCAGCGCAGATTCGGCTACATAAGGAGCTTAAAATATCATCTTGTTGTGATGTTGGGTGCCAGAATCGACGTAATACAGAAACGATCATCAAAAATGCTCGCGTTTGCAGCGCACACTTCGTATTAGAAAAGTCAAGTCAAGTCAAGTTTATTTGTACAGCGCTTTTCACGATACAAATCAGATCGTCCCATATTCAATAAAAGGTTCAATAAAGTATTGTCTTTTGTTGGTATGGGCGCGTCTACAGATTTCATGCCATTTGTCTATGTTTCTCGCATCTCACGACTATGTCGTGTATGAAATAATGTCTGTTTTACACACATGCACACAACAAACTGACGATTTATATATAATAATTTGAAACTTATATGGTAGTTAAATAGCCCCTAGACCTCAGTTATCATAAAAAAAAACAAGGAAATTTCAGTTTTGACAATATGGGACCTTTAATAATTTTTGAAATAGTGCTCGGTGTTGTTGGTTTATCTGTCCCTCCTGTGTCTATGAATGTTTCAGTCCAGAACTTGATTTAAAGCCCCTCAGTATCTTCAGATTCTTATGGCTGTAGATCTCCGTTTAGCTCTTATTAGATAATTTTAACAAGCGTTTGTGTGTCATACTAATATAAAACTGTCAGTCTGTCAATCTCCTTCTAAATAAACATTCTGCCTGTCATTCTGTTGTTCTTTCTCTAACATTCTTTCTGCCATTTCTGTTATTCTGTCTGTTGTTCTTTCTGTCATTATATCGTTCTGTCTTATTCGTTGTCATTCTGCGTATCTTATGATCTCTCAGTCTTTCTCTGGTTCCAACATTCTATTGTCCTTTCTATAAAGCACTCTGTCGTTGTAACATTCTATAACTTGTTCTAACGTTCTGTTTATTATTCTTTCTTTCTGTCATTCTAATGTTTTATTCTCTTGATCATTCTATCATTCTCTTGTCTCTCTATCATTATTTGGTTGGAACATTTGATCATTCTTTCTATATATTTTTTCTGTCTACTCTAATGTAATCTTTTTATTGTTCTTCTGCATTATAACATGCTCTCTATCATTTCTGTCTTATGTTCTATCGTTCTTTCTCTGGTTTTAACATTGCACCGTTCTTTCTATATATCATTCTTCTTTTGTTCTATCATTCTAACATTCTGTCCATCATTCCTTCTATCTATCATCCTAATGTTATCTTGTTCATCCTGTCATTATTTCGTTCATATATCTCTCGTTTTCTCTAAATATATTGCTGTTTTTTTGGGCTAATTCTAATTTGTGTATATTATCCTTTCTATCGTTCTATCTAATGTTCTGTTATTCATTCTTTCATTGATACTAACATTTTATCATTCTTTCTATATATCATTTTATCTAATGTTATATCATTCTCTATTGTTTTTCTCTGGTTCTAACATTCTGTCTATTGTGCTTTCATTATCTTTCATTCTGTCCTAATGCTCTATCGTTCTCTCTATCATTCTTTAGATCTATTGCTCTATCTTATGTTCTTTAGTTCACTCTCTGGTTCTAACATTCTATTGTTCTTTGTATTGTTCTATCTAATGTTCTAGCATTCTCTCGATCATTTTCTTTCTTGTTCTACTGTTCTGTTTTATTCCGTCTGCTGTTCTTTCTGTTGTTCTGTGTTCAAGCAATCGTTCTTGCTATCATTCAGTCTGATGTTTTGTTCTGTCTTATGTTCTAACGTTCTTTCTCTCATTCTAATATTGTGTCTGCCTGTCTGTTTCTTTAGTCATCTTTCTATCAGTCTACTCATCTGTCCATCTCCCTATCCATTTATCTGGCTATCTATCTACCTGTCTATCTGTGCGTCTGTCTGTCTATCAATCTATCTGTCTGTCTGTCTATCCAGCTGTTGTTCTTTCTTTTTATCAATTTAACCTTTTTTTTAAAAAATCATTTACATATTGTATATTGTCATGGGATGACCGAACGACAGACACAGTGGGTGTGGCGTCAGGCCTCGGAGAGGCTTTTATTAACAAAATAAAATATACAATGTGTCCAGGAAAAAGGGGAAATCAAGTGTCCAAAATAAAATAGGGGATCTGGTGTCCTCGTCGTGCTGCGGGGTTCGTGCAGGGAAGGGCAGTGGTCAGGAAGGAAGGGTCCATGTAAGGGGCAGAGTCCGGTGGCCGCACGCGCTCCCCTCTCCGGTCCGGGGCGCGAGGGGCGGCGGCTTCTATCAGCGGCTTCGTCCTTCTCTCTGCCCACGGCACTTGAAGGGACTAGACAGCCCAGCATCTTTGCCCGACGGCCGTGTAACGGGTGCGGTTCTTGTCCGGACTGCGGGTCCGGCAGCTCACGACTCTGGCGGCACGGGAGTTCCTCTACGCACCCCTCCTGGACCCACGAGGACACCAGCGTGTATCTCTCACGCACCCACTCCTGTCGGGAGCCTGGCGAAGGGCGGCGATTAAGGGACAGGGTGATGCTGATAATTAGGGGGAGGCAGCCGACTCGTCACAATATGTATAAGGTCCAATAGCAAAAACAGCCATTTAATTGTAAAGGTCAGAAAGAAAGTGGAAAATTGTCATGAAATTAAAAACCTTGGCTAACATTATATGTGCATTTAAAATGATTGTATGGCACCTATGCATGTTGAATGAACACAAAGTAATTTCAATTACTTACTTTCAATTACACAAAGTTTTCGATTACTGTATTTTTCAGTACAGAACCCACAGATTTCTTCGTTTGTCACCTCTGTTTAACACATGAGAAAGCAGAAGTCACTGCCATCGGCAACTCTGTGTCTCCTAGCAACGGAGTTTCAAGCCCGGCCGCACCGTGGTGAATTATGGTCACTGCTCAGCTGTTTATAAAGCCGACTCACCCGTCTGCACACTGTTTTTAGCATTCACTCGCACAGAATTATGAATTATTGAATATTTGAGTCCCCAACAAATTAGTGTGGAGAGCTTGAGTTGTGGGCCTCCCTCCTTTTCTTCCTCTCCTCAACTTTCCATTTTGCACTTGATGGCATTTGACTGTAATTTTGAATAATTTAATTGTACACAGTGGCTATTTTCAGACTGTAGTGTATATGAAAATTAGTTTCACATAGCCAGGCTTTTATATTGAAAGTCTCAACTTTTGAATATCTTTCAAAGATTCAGTGTCTTGGCAGCTTGGGAGCATAAAGCAAGCGTGACTGTTTTTTCTGTTTGGTGACTCACAGCAATTAGGAGATGAACATAAAAAAGGTTGAAATAGATTCCCGTAAATCATGTAAAGATTGCCAATCTGAGATTGTGATTTTGGAAAGCTTCATTAGTATGCGCAATATGCTTCAGATGATCCATCAACAGTCTGTCAACACGCCACCTGAAACGGAGACTGTATGAAATCACTGTTTATATGCTAATATGTTTGGGACGTTAAAATTAAATCTAGATAAAATCACTAGAAAAAATAATCCATGCTCTATTTTTGTGTTCTTAACTTAGTTCCATGGGTTCTGTAGCCTCATTAGCCGCATGCTAATTGTACATTTTGCCTTTTGCAGAGACTTCGGAGTTTAAACTCATGGTTTGAGATCCCCAGGCTCCAAAAAAACAGATTGTAGCTTTGGCAGGCATACGCGATCGGGATGGATGTAGTCTGCTGTCCTGATCCATTCAGGATTGCTGCCAGGAAGAAGCCCTCCAGGATGACGGCTCACAGGCCCGGGAGCGTGTTGTTGTGGAGCAGGGTTTAACATCTGTCTGGGTTGTTTATTTCCATCCGTGTTCTTCTGAAGAGAGGATCATGGCTCTCGAGAGACAGCTGGAATAGATAAGCTCTGGGGAAGAGCAGACACTGAGAATTAAAATGCTAAAACAGCAACGTGGGTTCAGTCTAGTTTAATATTCGCTCTGTTTGTCAGTGTAACTGTTACCATAATTGGAGGAAAAGTTCTGAAGTGTAGATGGATGTTTGATTTATCTAAAATCTTATTCTCTATACACTACTGGTCAAGTTTGGGGTCGGTAAGATGTTATAGTATTTTAAAATAAAACTTTTATGCTGCTCACCAAGGCTGCATTTGTTTGATCAAAAATACAATAAAAACAGTCATGTGAAATATTATTACAATTCAAAATGACTTGTATTTTCTATTTGAATATATTCTAAAATGTAATTTATTCCTGTGACGCAAAGCTGAATTTTCAGCATCATTACTCCAGTCTTCAGTGTCACATGATCCTTCAGAAATAATTGTAATATGCTGATTTGCTGCTCAAGAAACATTTCTTATTATTATCAATGTTGAAAACAGTTTGATAATACAACAACAGTGCTGCTTTACAGTGTATTTCCACAAATATATTTTGCATATGCATATTTTTGTGGAAACTGTGATACAATTTTTAATCAGGATTCTTTGATGAATCGAAAGTTCAACAGCATTTTTTTTTTTTAAATAGAAGTCTTTTGTAACATTATTGACTTTACTGCCACTTTTGATCAATTTGATCTGTCCTTGCTGAATAAAAAGATTAATTTCTTAAAAAATATATCTTACTGACCCAAAACTTTTGAATGGTAGTAATTCACTAAGAATTACTTCTAAAACAGCAAGTAATTCACTAAGAATGACTTCTTCCTTTTATTTGCATATTTTCTTTTAGCACCTGCTTCTCTAAATGCTTTATGCAAATCATGATCACTACAAAATGTTCATCCCTTTTTAATTAAATTATGTTGATTGGCAGCTTTCCATCAGCTGTGTAGCGCTTGGCGCAATGTTAATTGTTGCATTCAATAATGAGCCTTGTTTTCATAGCATGAAGGTGTGTTTACCCAAATAACATTTTAAATATGCAAAGTTCAACAGCATTTTTTTTTTTAAATAGAAGTCTTTTGTAACATTATTGACTTTACTGCCACTTTTGATCAATTTAATCTGTCCTTGCTGAATAAAAAGATTAATTTCTTAAACAATATATCTTACTGACCCAAAACTTTTGAATGGTAGTAATTCACTAAGAATTACTTCTAAAACAGCAAGTAATTCACTAAGAATGACTTCTTCCTTTTATTTGCATATTTTCTTTTAGCACCTGCTTCTCTAAATGCTTTATGCAAATCATGATCACTACAAAATGTTCATCCCTTTTTAATTAAATTATGTTGATTGGCAGCTTTCCATCAGCTGTGTAGCGCTTGGCGCAATGTTAATTGTTGCATTCAATAATGAGCCTTGTTTTCATAGCATGAAGGTGTGTTTACCCAAATAACATTTTAAATATGCAGTTCATATAGTTTAAATAGAAGCTCATATAATTTGGACTGCAGGTGGAGCATGAATAAAGTTTTGTGATGCTTATCCATGGACATATCCATGAGCAGACCATATGTTTTCAGAGATTTTGAAGGTCTCCCAGCCCTTAAACTGTGGTTGGTCATGTGCATGTGAATCAGACAGTCTCTTCCTGTTTAAATGGTGGTTCTTGGCTCTAGTGTCATGTTGAAGGTCAAACATCTGACTTCGGACACTCTTTTGTGACTAAAATCAAGGTTCTGCTCATAGACACCAGAGTTTGTCAATGTGCTTAAGTGAAAATGTGAATCTGTTTTGTTCACTGGGAAGTGGTCAAACCCTTGGTCAGGCCTCAGACAAACAGGTGGCAGGTGTTAATACGAGTCAGCGGGTTGAATTTGAAGCGTTTTTCCTGTGAATGTCTGATGACTGTCATTGTAATGCAGCATCTTATTCATGCGTTCTTCGATCTTTGATGTGGGAATGAAAATCAAAGCTGTGATTCATAAGGATCATGTGTCTGTAGGGCAGACACTCATTTAAATGTTCACAGATGTGTTGTGCAGCACTCATTTGACTTCGTTATTTGGCCTCTGTCTATTATTCATCCTCAGTGAGGTTTGGGAGCTTTTAGCATCTGAATGAAGCTCTGAACAGGCGCTCCTTGTGTCTTCACACACACAGGGAGATGACGAGATGAACAGAGAGAGCAAGTTTGTAAGATTCGCGTTACACACCAGGATCAAACTCTCAATTGCATTTCTCCTTATGCCGAGTTCACACTGCATGATTTTCAAACTCGTCGGATCGCCGTTGTTTTCACACTGCGTGACTATCTGGGGTAGCATTCAATTGCTGCTGTGTTCACATTGCACGATGGATTGGTGACAGGGGGTTTCACACTGCATGACTTCACAATAGGAAGAATCGCCGACAGCTCTGTCTGGTCCGCAAACTACGTTTCACAACAAAACACACGCGAGAAGTGATAAGGAAATAACGCGAGAACCCGCATGCGTCAGAC